TGTCCTGTGTCAATCGCACGTCACCAGCAGAGAGGAGTAGCACGTCTCTACAGCTCGAGAGAGAGTCAAGTCTTGTCGAAAAGGTCTGCTACCCAGAATAGAAGGGCCCAAGAGACAAGGGGTTGTGGAGCATACCTCGAGCCAGGGACCAAAACGAGTTTCCGTGGGTAGGAACAGACCGGTTCTCGCACCGTTTCGGGAATTCCTCGAACAACTCCGCTGCGTTCACTTCAACTCCGTTGCATCCTTTAACTCCGTTGCATCCTGTATCTGAGTGCGTCGAATTGATTCCTTTGATCCAGCGCAAATGATGACAAGCGATGATGGTGAAGGGTGGCGACGATTCGATACACAAAGTGTTCAACGAAAACCGTGTTTGCGGCCGATTCCCATGATATCGTCGCGACATGCAAGAGGCATCACCGCAATGGACACTGCTGAAGGAGCTGACCAGGAGGTGTACATATTTTGGCTGAAATGAGTAAGGATATGAGAAGCCGAAACACAAGCAACCAATGCCTCGGACAAAGTGTTGCGTAGGGTTGTTGAGAGGGGAGATTAAGAAGGGTGAAGAGAGAGGAAGAGCTGTGCGTGCGCGCGCGTGCACGGTACGCGACGGGGTGTGTGCGTTTCTTCTGGTGTTGCATGGTGAGGCCAAACTCACCCCCCCCAAACTTCCCCCGTGAAGTTGAGACCGATCATCCCCCTCGCCTGTGAGGCTCGAGGGTTGGTTGGTCGACGTAGGGTTGGCTCTTGTGGCATGGAGCTGTAAAACTGCTGCTCAGGACATGGGAGATGTTACTGCGGTATCCTGTGAGCTATTGTGCTGTGCACACCCTACAGGATTGCCCGCTAAACGCTGGATAGTTTGAACGCACTACTGCTGTAGCAAGCACTGATCATGTGAACAACAGCAGTCTCCATCTTGAACTTTTCCATCTGAAGTGTATTAGCAGATTATTCTCCAAGTGTATCACACACGAAGCGACGCGTTCGCAGTCCGCCTCGTCTTGTAGGGGTGTTAGGTCTATGGTCTACAGTAACGACTACGGCATGCGTATACACAAGTAACCCCGTCCGAAATACCCCCGCCAGGATACCGGGTACCCGCGGGTACCCGCCTCCAAACTACCCGGCAGGTATTGGGTGAGGTCTGCATCCCGTACCCGGTTCGAGTATGTAATTGGAAAGCCGGCATACCCGCCTGGTAAACGGGTACCCGGCCAACTAGCCTCTAACCTGGCTCACACAGACATTCGCTATAGGTGTGATAGTCCTTGCCGTGTCACGGGTCTGCCTATTCCCGTTAGAAGAATACAACCTTTGCATCTACATACTGTAGGTGGCACCCATTCTGAAAGCATTTAGCTGGCGGGGCCTTCTCGTGTACATATGATACACGAAAATAGGTGGAAACAGCGTACTGATACACGTTACAAGTAGCATCCACTGAGTAAGGTTGGGGCTATCACGCATCTCTGGTGAAACACAACCCCGGGGTTAACAATACTCGCGTAATTGTTAGGGGACGGCTTCGCGAAAACCTGGAAACCCCGGGGGCGACAAGAACACCTGGGAGTGTCTCTTTCTTTTTCCCACACACATTTAACACGCAACTTGTTCTATCGCACCGTGAGGCACGAGCCCAATACCTGACATGCATCAATAGAAGCAACAGAGGGGCTGTTGGCGTTACATATCTCACTCGTCTGTCGGCAGCAGCACCGATCGTGCTCCATATCATTTGGCGGGCAAACTCCAAAGTGGCAAATACCACCTCCAACAACAAAACCACCACCACCAACACAAACAACAATGCCACCACCACCACCAACAACAACAACAGCATCTTGCCTGAAAGAACACCGGGGGTTTCCTGCGAAGGTCACGGATGCGGCCACACAAAATACATATCAAGGTCTGGGGAAAAACAGATGTGTGACCGTTGTGCTTAGTTAGGTGGTTTCTTGTGTAGGGGGGTCTAGCTGGGCTACCTCGGAGGATATGGCAGTATACCCAACCTGTACCGCCTCTTCCCCTCGTTGAAGCACACCGCGTGTTGCGACGTCAGACAACAGTATCGTATTGTGTCCGCCCGAAACACCATACATCAGACCAACTGATTGGAGCGCTCCAAGTGTTCGCCCGACCATGTACTGATGAGACAGCAAGGCTGAGAATATACCCGCACCTAAACAGAAACCCCAACATGACCGAATATGGGGGCAACAGTAGCATTCTTCCCCGAAAATAAAAACTCATCTGGCCATTTTGAGCTCAATACACGGAGGACTTGAGGTAGAATACGGAGAACAGCACGGCCACTTCTACGATGGCGGTCGGGACGTTGCAACAGCCCACGATCTGCCTGGAGTGTTGCCGTCCGCATCCAATCAGCGAGGACGGCGGGACATAATGGGAGAAATGCACAAGCATGGGAGGGAGAGAGGGGGGCCGAGAGACACAAGGAGAGTTCTCATGGGTACGTCATTTTCTGTTCTCGCGAGAATAATGATGGTGGTAAAGGTAGTTCACGGGGAGGGTGGAAGGTGGAAGGGGCCCGCGGGGCGAGTGACGTTGTTGCCGATTGGCGGTCACACGCGTATGTTCACACCAACGTTCGTTATGGTTTTTGGGGCCTTCTGGTTTAAGACGTCATCTGGGTGGGTATACGTTGCAGGATATCCATGCACGCAGTGGGTAATTGACTGTTTCAGCACCACATGCATTCCCTCTTGTGTAGGGTTGCCTGGGAGTGGACGAGTGAGAAGTAGCATGCGACTGAATGTGAACGGGAGAATGAAAATGGCCGCGAACTGAAACGGAGCCACTATCGTTCACGCGTGGTCGGAATAGCTCCCCATCGCCACTTTGTGCATTCACCACACTGTTTATATCGTCACTCTACTCCTGTTGTAGGGTCGCTTCTTTACAAGACGATCAGTGGGGTCTTGCGGCCTCCCTTGGGGTTGGGATGACCTTCAGTCCATGTCGTTTCCACGTGGTTCAGGTCGACCTATTATAGTGCCTGCTTTGTCATCCGTTGAACACCCAACTACGCCTTAACTCCATGGGGCTCAACTCTTTCAGTTGTTGCTACACCGCTGACGACATGGTGTTTTCCCTTTTACTAAATGTCTGGAGTCGAGGATGGTTCGAATTGCTTGATCGTGTGATTTCCAAACAAAGGCATTATCACCACGCCCGGTAAGGACAGGTCGTAGGCCGGATCGAAAAACTCACCAGAGACATCTGTAGTCCCACGCGTCGAAGATGAAATGTGCGATCAAGACGGCCCCAGAAAAATGCGCAACGGTCTGCAGCGCGTTCACCTGCAGAGCATGCACGAGACACGTTAGTGTACTACTTTAGAACACCCAATCGTGTAGAGCAATAGATTGGGTTGACCCGAGCAAGAGCTCAGAAATATAGTTGGCCTAGTCTTGGAATTACTACAATAATCCGATGTAGGAAACATTGTGATTTCCCACGTTCCTTTCGGCGAGTGTCACCTCGAGGAGCACAATAACTCGAAGCGCGCACATGGTTCTTGGTTAGGTTGATGACCCGTCTATTCGGAGAAAAAAGCCGCTCTCTTTTTTTTGGGGAAAAACAAGCATGGACAGCTAGCTTTTGTCTCTACAGGTGGATCCGGCACATCAAGAAAAAAAAAATGTTCCTCCCCATTACAATCAAGTTAAGTATATATATATATTTGTAGGAATGTCATCGTCGGACGCACACATCTATCTACAGTAGAAAATGGTGAAGGAATATTTCTATGCATACGCATTTCTTTAATGATTTTGTTCAAATTTTGAATATAGACAGACTGCTGTATGCGTGAACAAAACGAGAGTTTTGCGTTGACACTATTCCTATGCTTCCCTCCGCTGTGAAGCGGACGAGCATTGCGACCACTCATCTGTTTGTCGTTGCAGATGATGGCGACTCTCCGACGTGCACAGCAACCAAGCATGTATGTATGTGCCCTGCGGCTGCTGCCCCAAGAATATTCATCTTCATTCTACATAGAATATAATCTTCCATCCGTCAACGACGGCTACCTGTATTTCCACGGTCTCCTGTGCTGCACCCAACGACATCACCCCTGTAGATAAACAAGCCCTGAAGACATTTTTAGTGGTTGTCTTGTGCATGTATCTGTACCAATCGCCACAGAAACTTTCGGATGCGCTCTTCCTGTGGGCTCATTGTTGCTATATCTGTTGTTTGTCGGGGGTACGCTCACCCTGAGAGGTGTAGCGTGTACTGCGCAACGCGTGTGAGCTTTTTTTCCTTGCTGAGCGGTGTGGTGGTGTGTGCGTCTTCAACAATCAACAATCTACTCAACAAACAACCCGAGCGTGCGTGTGTTATGAGGTGCTGCGCCAGCAAGGGAGAAAGCGTGTGCGCCCTACGGGCTTCTTTTCACCCTCAGCCTCTGCCACTCGTGTGCTTCTGCCACGTTTTTGGGCTTTCCTCTGGAGCACACACAAGGTGGTTGTTTGGGTCGTTCGCAGTCCACCTGAAGCCCGTACGGGTTAACTCACGGGGGGGGGGGAATTCCAGGGATGTTCGCGGTGTGGAACCGCACCGCGGTGCGGTTTTTTGTTTCTTGACCTTGACATGGTCACGGTGCGATGCGGTGCGTTTTTTTTCATATCGATATTTGACGGTGCGGTGCGGTGCGGTTTTATAGTATCACGGTGCGGTGCGGTTCACCGTCGCACGTTTTATTTTTACTGTGCGGTTTTTCTACCCCGTAATAAGAACCGCGCGAACCGCGGCCTTGGCGGTGGTGCACCGTCGAAGAACACCGCGGACAATACTACGGTTGTCGGTGACAAAATGACGGGATCTCTACGATTTTGATTTTTTCGTGGAATACGTTAGATTTAGTCCATCGAAATGAAACCGCCACGACAAATCCCGCGGCTTGCGGTCAGAACGTCCGAAAACCCCGGACAACAGAGAAGCTACTTTGATCATATTATATTTCATTTTTCATTTTTCCATTCACCATGCGTTCCTACAACACGCTGCAAAGGGTGAACGGCCAGCGAAGCGGCGATATCCTCCTCCATCGAAAGAAGCGCAAGTGCACCCGGCAATCCTCGAGCTGCTCCACCTGCCACCGCCTGTCGCGCACGCGCCCTGGACACCGCCGGTGTTACTTGGTAGCGGTCGTGTTGACGCTGAAGATGCGGGGCGAGGGGGGGCACGGACGACGGGGGCGGGGCGGGGGCGGGAGGTAAAACGGACAAGGGGGGGAAGACGCTCCCCCCTCTCGTGTGCTCGACCGCCCCCGCGAACGCCGCCCTCGGTGTCGCCGCCGCCATTCCGGCTGCCGTCGCTCCTGCTGCCATTGGTGCCGGCGATGGAGTTCTGGCCGAAACCGTCTGCATGACCACCGGCGCTCCCGCTGATACTTTCATCGGCGACGAGGTTTCAGCCGAAGCCGCCACTGCCGTGGACGCTCCCGATGACGCTGGTGCCGGCGACGGGGCACTCGCTGAAGCCGACATTGCCGTCGCCGCGCCTGCTGAAGTCGCCGCCGTCGCCGCCGCCCCCGGTGCCGTCGCTCCGGCCGGTGCAGATGGCGCCCCCGTTGTACGTCGGCACGAGGCCAACGAGCGGCTGGCGTCGGTAACCCCACACGTAATTGTCTATGAGGGTGTTGTCTATGAGGAACCCGGCGTAGAACTTTTGGTCGGACTCGCTCATGTTTGTGAACTCCTCGCCGTCGCATAGGAACAGTTCCTCGAGCGCCTGGAAAAGATCTTTACGAATTTCCATTTACGTACCCGATACGGGGTGCACCTTCCTGGGCGTGCATGTATCTCACCTTCATCATGAATATGGACAGGCCGAAGAAAAGGGACATGAAGTCCAACCCAAAGCAAACCATCGCCAACGCTAGCGCAGCCTGCACACGGGATGGCGGCAGTGCACATTGGCGGCACAGCAAATGATTGCCACGACATAGACTTCAATATGTGCCTGTGGTGGGCATGCGTGTGATAGTTGTGGGCGTCAATGTATGTATGTGTAGGGTGCTGGTATTCCCAAAGAGGTAATCACAGGTACTCTGATACAAGGTTGACTGCATACATATGCATCCAATGTACAGCAGCGGCAGGCAGTGGTCTGCAGAACCATATCGCTGGTACTGCTTTACGTACAGTTCTAAAGGTCTAAGGAAACGCGGAGGGGAGGAAGAGGTATTGCGGCCGCGGTGGGCCATCTGATTGAGCGTGGTCCAGGCTGGCCGGGACGTGGATACTGTACTCTGTACTCGGTATCTCCCACCTTGCTCAGCGTCGGGATTTTGCATGGCTAGTCAAGCACGACCTCCAGGTGTAGATGCACCATTTTCTTGCTGCAGATTTTCGTACATACCTTTTTGGGTAAGTTAACCTGTGACCACGGGAATCGACCCCGTCAACTGTTACTACTGTAGTAGAACTATGCATACGGACAGAAGAAGGTACTGGGCAGAGAGAACGGAACAGCTTTTTAATGTAAAGACAACAACAACAACAACAACAACAACAACAACAACAACAACAACAAGTAGACCATCTCAAGGTCCGCCTGTGTATCTCGGGACCGTTGTTCGTCATGACCGTAGAGAGCGATGGTGCATAAACGCATGCATGTATTCAAGCTCACATTGACGTGGCCGTTAGCCGTGGCAACCTCTGCGGCGGTAGGGTCGGACGACAACCCGGCGTACACGTTGTCTGACTTCGTCTTGCTGATCAGGATCACTCCGACCAGGTGGCCGAGGGTCACAAGAAACCTCGCTGGGATTACTCTGTCCTCGATTTTCATGTCCCCTACTTGGTTAGGAACAAGAGGTGCGTTCGTTGCCGTCGTATCTCGTTTGCGTACGCGCTCGGTCCGGTTGCGTATAGCAGTATCAATCATCAAGCCGCGCCTTAGTTGGAAAAAAAAAAAAAAACGTATCTTGCGTGCGTGTGGTCGCCAGGATTTACCCGCCGGAGCAAGCTGCTGTTTATTTCGTATCCGAAACGTGGATCTTGGATATGCACTATTTACGGCTGAACCCGCATCAGGCCGAAGAGAAAGTTGTGCCCGGTGCCGGATAATTAAGGATCAGATACACCAGAATGCACGTATTGTCCAGCAACGGTGCTGTTTGGTACTCTTCGAAAATGTACGACACAGAAAAATAGAGGAAGCATGGTGGGTGCCGCATAAAACAAGTCAAGCATGCAAGTTTGCACACACTTTTTCGATCCGACTGTTATTGAAATGCGTCTTCCTTGGACTGATGAACACGGCAGACTCTTGGCAACAGGATAGAATAAAGAATTTGTGGACCCCAAAGCGTCAAAAAGCACATCGACAGCTGAAGATCCCGGGGGTCTTGGATGGAGATGGAGCAAAAACAAGAGATTTGCGCGTCGTTGGCCGAACAGCAAAAAAAAAACACGGCTGGTTCTTGCGTCATCGATTGGCACCTTGTACGACCGAATCCGACTCTTCCTGTGATCACAAGCACGTACATGCACATCGGACATCCTGGATGTCCGCCGAAGGACTAAACCAATTGCTGCTGTACCCCGCAAACACCGGAATATAAAATTTTGGCAATAAACCCAATCACGGTTGGATATGTGTATCACCCTCTCTCTCTCTGTTGCGTGCATCAACGGAAACACAGCAGAACTAGCGCTGTGTTGTGCGTACACGCAGGTTGCACCTCAATGATCGGGTCTGGGTGAAAGGTTCTGGTAGTTGCGCGTGCATGTAAAGTATCCTCTGTGATGAACTTCCACAACACCCCCGGTGACAAACTTGAACAAGGTCGCTGTCGCAGTATCACCGGGTGTGGCATTCCGTGCGGATATCTCTCGTGGGAGTGTTATCTTGTATGGAATACGGCGTATTTGCCAAGTTTATGCCTACATGCTTCCACACGGACGGTCCTCTTGTTGGAAACGTTTAAGTATTTGTCCCCACCTATGTATCTTACCGACCAACTGATCAGCTCCACGTAAGTCAAACATTACGCTCGCCTTGGGACGTCATAAAATCTACGCTAGCTAATGAAAACAGTGCTTCTCGAACCACACTTACAGAGGAAGCCAACGACCTACCCGTTAGTTTTCGCACGCTCTGCAACAACTTCAGCAAGAAAACAGCAACAGCCAACCCAGTAGGCTCCCTTGGTACTGCCTCTGGTGCTACACGCACTTCTCACCACCCGCCAACAACGCGTTAAATGGCAATCACAAATGCAATCACCACAAAGACTTGGCAGATACCGGCCAACAAGACAAATGTCGACTTGCGCCCCCTTGAACGACCCCCCAAGTTCATCCCAAGAAGGCCAGAGTCCTCTCAAAAAAGGCCTTTGATCTTTGCAAAAAAAATTGGGTGTGAGCAAATATCCCGCGCGGGGGGGGGGATGAACAAGTCGCTCCGATGCCTCTCCGAAAATGAACGCTTTAAAAAACACTCATATTGTGGCTCACAAAATACCGGGCACAATCTTGTACGGAACCTGCGCGCAGTACTGCAAGACAAGCAGCGAGAGGGGCGACAACGGAAAAGCACCAACAACATCGGCGGAAACGCGCAACACACAGACGACGACAACAAACAAAAGGAAAATGCGTCGTGAAAGGGATAATATCCTGCGCCAAGTGGCCCAGAGAGAGGAAACACCGAACAAGGCCAAACCTTCGGAACAGCCTCTGGCAGAATGTAGGTTCCGAAACCTACATATCTAACGCCTGCTTTCCCTCTCTCGCTCGTTCATCGCCGGAACAATACGCGATACTCGAGGAACCGACTCAAGAGCGAGCGGAATCGAAGACTGCCGCCCGTCTGCTGCATCTCGAAGAAAAACAACGCGAAGTAAAACGACACGAGCAACCACAAAAACGACCCCTGTAGTGATAGGACACTGTAGCCTGGTCGGGGTTAGAACCCAGCGCGCTCCGTCCGGGCTTTCCAGGGATGCGACGACAAATGGTGAAACGACTACGGCACGCACGGCAGTAAGCACACCACCCAACCCCTTACCTTGTCCCAGTGCTTGCCGTACTTTCCGCGGCAGCGAGTGTCGTCCCTGAACGCCCTGTCCGTCAGCAGCAGGACCAGGAAGACCACGTAGAAGTACGGCGTCGGAGTCTCAAACAACGCCGGAACCGTCCAGAAGAACGCCCCCGTGATCTCGGGGAGGTAGTGGAAGTGGCGGGCCACCCCCCACCAGCCGGTGCACAGGAGGAGCGAGGAGGCCTTCTCCCCGCGGGCGTTGATGTAGCCCGCCGTGATGTATTTCGCCGGCTTGCCCCATACGATGATGTCCCCCTTGGCCTGTTAGGGACGGGCCGGGAAAGTTGCTAGAGTTTAGCTCAAGCCGAATCAATCCCTCGCCGTCAAGAGCAAGCACGTCTTCGAAGCATGTATCTCTGGTCCACGTCCCCGAGCACGACGGGCAACATTCTCCGTTTCATACGGTACAGGGTGTGATAACAGCCGTCTACGCGTGGGGACTGACGACTTAACGTAGAGGTTAGAGTAGAGTCGTCGGAACCAACGATTGACCAATACCTCACAACGTTGTGGTGTTTCTCCTTCCCCTGTGCATTGTCTACAAGACGCGTGAGTCACGGGGCATGCTGACTTCTCCTCTTCTTTAGGAACCACGGGACGTTGTTCTTGCGAAGAAAGAAGAAAACACACAGGTACATCCGAGACTTACGTACATTGAACCATGAAGAGACACAATCCATCACTACTCACTGCTTGGAAACAACTGGAGCAATGCTCAGGTCAAGCGACAAGGGCAACACACGGCATATTCAGCACCACCAAGAGGTTGACAGTACCACGGTTCTCTCGTTGCACACAACACCTCAAACTAGGCACCCCCAAACAGGTAAACGACATCATGAGCACGTCCGTCAGCATGAATGAGAAGGGAAAATGAGGCGTGGTGCTAGGCTCTCGCCTGTCGGAAGGCGTGGCGTTGCCTGTCGGCGTCAAAGTTGGCCCAGATCGAGAGCAGCCCCAGCGCCAGGATAGCAGAGGCGCCGTACCAGCCCAGGGAGATAGGGTGCTTGACCAGGTAGATGCCCGGGGAGGAGTACACGGCCGGCACCCAGACCTGCGTTGACATGTGGGGTTGGTTGGGTTGGGCGGGGTCGCTGCACACAAAGAACATGAAACTTCCACCGAACACCCGCTAATCTTCTTGTCTGGACCGGCTTCGCGAGGATTTTATTGTCATCCTTTGAAACAGAGAGGAGGGGGTTTTGTATCCCTATCCTAACCCTACCCCCCAACCCACCCCAACCGCGTACACCCCCTACACACAAAAAAATATCCTCAGGAAGGCTACTGTCTAGTCTTTGCCTGCCTGCCTCCCCTTTTCCCTCTCCTCCGTCGCACGATGCTTATGCTTCTCTGATCCCTGGTTGCTAAGTAGTGTCCTCTCCTCCCTCGTACGACGCTCCATGTTTTTCTGATCCCTGGCTGCTACAGCAGCAGTGTTTCTCTCACCAGGCAGCCCCAGCACAGGTAGTAGCCCGCCCGGTCGTGCTGGATGTCCATGCTGTTCATGTACCCCATCTCCCAGTGGAAGAACTTGGTGATGTAGGTGAGCTGGAGAATGACGCTGACCTGTCAAGCGCGCACGTCGTGTGTAACGCAGAAACGTCGTTTACTACATGCAACCAGGTAGAATGGAGAGCAGACCCGCGGCGGACACGGTCACCGCCAGGCCGCCGCCCAACTTACCGCCATGCTGCTCGACAGCTTCCCGTACATCTGCTGCTGCGTGTAAGCGTAGATCACCGCGCCTACGGCCCAGTACATCATCCCGAACCGGCAGTTCGTGAACATCTTCACGTCCGCTCCGAACACGCGGGGGTATAGCTCGGTGCCCCTTCAAAAAACAAAATAACATTAACGAACAGGGGCGCCGAGACGTGATTCTCTCAAAGACTCGGTGGTGATATGTATCGGGGGGGCGGCAGAAAGGAAGAGGACGGTTGGCCAGGGCGCAGCACTGGGCGTGGTCCTCTCAAACAACAAAGAAAAAACTGGTATAGGCTTACACAAACCCAAAATAAGCCCACTTTCCACTCTCCACTCATTGACAAGACTTCAACACGCCCCTTTCGACTGAGGTTACATCTCGAACGGGTACAAGTAGTCTTTCTGTGGCGTTTATGTTTACTTTCTAACAAAAAAAAAAAAAACTGGAATGCATGGAGGAAGACGATGTTCAAACCTTGTTCCGTGTCGTCAGCGGAGGGAAGCACCCCACAAACGAGGTGGGCCAATTGCAAACGAGACGAAGGGAAAAAAAAAACTCGAAGAGGCGCGCACTACGCGTATAGCAAGGCGGGCTGCCGCTGCTGCCGCTGTCGTCGACGCCGATGCAGAACAAAAACGGCATACAGTAAGAGTCGAGACAAAACAAAACAACGGAGAGCGAACGGCAAAGCGCTGATGCGTGCACCACCCACTCTCCATCTCCAAACAAAACACCCTCGACCACGTCACAAAGGGAATCAATCCCGCGACAGAAAACGCTGCGCTACATTTACGAAACACGTCTCACCACCAGTAGTTCTGGAGGAAGCTGCCGTTGCTGCCGCTGTCGTCGGTGGAAGGGAAGTACAAGCCCTTGACGGTAAGGAGGAGAACGAAGAAGAGGGAGAACACCGACAGTCCGGTGAAGATCTCGCCGAGCTTGTCGTAAACGTTCTTAGGGTCCAGCCTGACAACGTGATGGTGCCCATGCAAATGCATGCGCGTAGAACGGAAATAAGGAGGAGAGAAAACAACACAAGTGGAATTGAAAAAGGGCGTGCAGCCTGCAGATTCTGTTGGTGTACACATGCAAGATGCACTGCTTAGCAACCCCTACAACAATGTGAGCAGCATGTGTCAACCGCAAGCTGCAGAAACAAAAAAAAATGGTCCGGAACAGCGGGATCAAATCAACGAGAGCCAAAACAAGCCCGTATGCTACAAGTGCCGGACAAGATCAAGATCCAACACAACGGAACGCACCGCACGAGTCTGTCTCCATACCCATGTCATCCCATTGTGCAATAAAACTGCTCGTCAATTTCTCACGACACTGCTGCTGCGGCAACAAAGACGGTCTATAATTATTCTCGACGCCGCGACGCGCCACGGGGAAGAAGCTTCTTCGAACACTTCTTCGAACACCTGTCGGTGGCGACGAGGGCGCAGAGCGTCGCGAGCGTCACGAGGTAGGAGAGCATGCCGTTCGCCTTGTACACGGGGATGTGTCCGGTGGCGGTGGGGTTGGCGCGGAAGGCCTTGCCGGGGAGACCGACCATGAGCAAGATCTCGAAGACCCTGTCAAGAACATATAAAATGAAGAAAAAAGTGTCAAGTGCGTGGCGCTGAGTGAGAGAGCCATCGGGCGGAGGGAGGTAGATGCGACTACACTTTGTGGATGGAAAAATCGTGCGTAGGTAAGTCAGCGATTAAGTTGAGCGGACGGCCGAGAGAGGCATGCGAAAGAAGCGCGTAGCTTGAAGATCAAACACACCATTCAGGAGGGTGGCAGAGCAGATAAGGGAGGTTAGGGAGAGGGCGGGAGGGGAGCGAATGCAGACGCCGAAGAGAAGAAAACACGCGGAAGGCAAAGACAAGAGATAAATGAGTAGACAGAACAGGGTGGCACCTACCCTACAATCAACAAGCAGAGGCGACGCCCATACAAAAATACGCACAACACGGCCGACAGCTGTGGGCTAGGGACAAAAACGACAGACACAACCCGACCGTGTATACATATGAGGCCACCGTTGCTTCTCTCCTCTTGCACGATAGGCGAGGCAATGGATGGATTCACGAATTCGATCCCGACCGATCAAGGAGAGCACAGGGCGCCAGTACCGGCTACAAGAGAACATTGTCCATCACGTTGTTTTTAAGATCGACGAAAGAGACTGCACGAGACAAGTATCGGGCACATGACCATCTTCCAGCTGACTCCTCTAATCCTGCGCCCTTTTTCCCAACATACAGTAAGCGCCTGCGCTTAGGAACTGGGCAGTTTAAGAAGTTGATATAGCCTCCAAAATCTCAAAATCTTAGAACTTGAGCGCCGTTTGTGAGCTCGGTTAAGAACCTCTTACACAAAAACCGGTGTAACGGCTACTCATAGCACAACACTACTGCTGTAGGGATCAAGAACCCAAGCCTCGGCCGAAACTAGAGGTTCTTAAGCGCGGGCGCTAAAAACTGCTGTATGTGCGCCAACCAAAACAAAAAAAAGGTTCTCACCCGAATCCGAGGATGTACTTCCACGCGGCCGGGTCCACAGGGCTCGGCACGACGTCGAGCACGTACTCCGGCCCCGCCGCTTTCAGGTCCCCCCAGAGGGAGACCCAGCTCCCGCTGTGGCTCACGAGGAGGTGCCACCAGAACACCACGAAGAAGGGCGGGACGAGGATGAGGAACAGGGGGCCGACCGTGGTGCGGAACCAGTTGGGCACGAAGCCCCACAGCTTGCTGTCCTTGCTCTCCGCCGCGACGGAGGCCTTCACCGCCTCCCGAATGTCCATCGCGTCGGAGGCCTGCTTCGTGGATGTTCTTAGCGCCATGCTGAACGAGCGGAAAGTGGCGCGACAAACAGAGAGAGGGGCCAAGAGCCGTTACGGAGGACGGCGTAACGGGAGGAACGGATGCCCCAGCGCTGCGGTGTTGCGGGAGTTGGGGTCCAATTGCGTCGCTCGTGGTCGTTGGAGTGCGGCAGTGGATGATGGCATGGTCGGTTAATGACGGGCGCAAAACAAAATATGTTCACAGCAGCAGCGCCTGCAGCGGCCTTGGCAAGCTGTTCGCGTGTGAAAGTCCCCCGGAGGTGGCACCAAATGGATATATACAGATGGGGGCCGCAGTGAAGAAACGTAAATTTTGGGCCAGGGGGTTTTACAAATTGCCGCCGTTGAGACAAGCACACATACGGTATGCCAAAATAGTGATACTCGATAGGATCCACCGCTGGGTGTGTCTCAACTCTCAAGTAAATATTTAACGTTAGTCGCGCACATCTGCAGCTCCAAATCTGACTGAGAACTCTCTGAAACCGAAAATGTCTTACTGTAGATGCGGGCCCGGTATCCTGGCAGGACATCGGTCCAGGCCGCATTCATCTGCTCCACCGAAGGTTGTACTGCTGTACTGCTGTACAGTAGAGGTCCCTGTTTAGTGCCGGTTCTTTGCCGAGAAAATTCACCGGCAGTACTATTGTATACCGGACAGGCCCTATTCAAACAAATGAGAATGAGTGGGGAATTTCAGTGTGTGCCCGCCGAAAACACCGGCACTACGTACACCGGGCACCGGCACTATACCGAAAACAACGGCACTACACCGGGCACCGGCAATATTCAACCGGCACTAAACAGGGAGGGACCCCTACTGCTGTAACAGCAACAACGACCAGTCGAACAATGTACGATGTACAAAGCTTCAACAGATCAGTATTTCCTCCCCTTATAGCAGCAGCATGTTGGCAACAGCTAGCGGCATGCCGCGAGTCCCAGCTGCAAGCAGGTACACAGCACCGCTACTTTTTACTTTTCAGGCTTTGCGCGGCCTAATGCAAAGGAGCGGCACAACTCCGGCGGTACTGCTGATTTACTGATTTACTTTTCCGATGCCGACATGCCGATGGCGAACGCATCATTGCATCAACGCATCGAGTGAAAAACATTTCGCAAACACTACGCGGCCTTCTTAACCCGGGGAATTCGCCTTCGACAGCTTGAGTACCGTACGCTTCATTCACCTACATGTCGAAAAAAGAACATATCCTGCGAGCTGCCGAGTCAGAGCGCAAACTACACTTCCGTCTGGCTCCTTCCCATGATTGGTGTCGAAACAACGCCGCTCGACACCACCGGTTGCGGCTGGCAGCCTTCACTAGGAATGAGCACAACAATACATGATGCGGCCGGTGTGCTAGAGCGGCAGTAGAGCTACTCAGGCTGAGGGTGAGCGATATAACGACGCCCACGGACCGCGACTTTGCAGTGTAAGCGCGGTTCCCGTTGCCATTTTTAGGTCATACAGCAGCAAAGTCAGCCACTTTGCCGCTTGCGCACGCCGTCGTGGCGCCACAACAAACATAAGTCGGCACTGCAAACGTCGTTTACAGCATGGAATCGACGTAGCCCTGCCATGACTCACCTTCGCCGCCGCTCCCTGTCCCCGTCTGTAGTCGGTAGGCTGGTCTGTACAGCCTGTAAACACTGCTGCTGTGAGGAGGCTGGATTGTATCCGTGCCATGATGATATCACGGGGCTCCTGCCGATGGCGGCTCCGTCGATCATGCGGGCGTCCGAATCTTTTGGGAAATCTATACCTCATGATCTTGCGCATCTTCGCTGCTCTCGGGCTCCCACACATTCCTGCGAGCGCACGTATTTCGCGGACAATTTGAACCGCAGGTCGCAGCCTCGGCTCGCGGCCTCGCGAGCCGTAGGCTTGAACAAATTAATTTGTCGAACATGTATCCAGGAGGGAAAAAAAGTGGCCAACCCACAGGGAGGGAGGGCCGATGGTCCTCCAAAAACCTGTTTGTCCCGGCTTGCTCCTCAACGACGGCGTGGGACCAGCGCAGCTACGCAGTAGCCGGTGGCAAGTGGGCTGAGATGTCGACGGGCGGGGGTGTCGTGTCGGCCTATGCACACTTCCGAGGTTGGTAGTAAGTAGGATCGCACACACGTATCGACCCAGTTGCGCGGGACAGCACCCCCCAGCGCGCGTCCAGGGAAGGCAGTTGTTAGACCATGTTCGTCGAAATTTTAACGCCGGTGAAGACGTCAGCAGCCGGAACGGGAGCTGGCTCTGTATGGCGCGTGGGTACACACGTTCGCATGAGCATCACCACTGGTTGTGCACAAGTGTATTCGCGCCCATGGAAAGATTTGGGCCAAGCCAAAACCAATGTTCTCCCATCACATCCGTTCGTCCCCACATCCCCAAATTGCTTTATTCCTCGGTTCAAAACCCATCACTTCCCGCGAGCAGCTTTGGCACAGCTTTACGCATCATACTGAACTAGCTGATAGACATTTATTTACGCATTTTCCGCTTTCAATGTGACAAAAGCGCAACCTGGCTTGCTCACAGCCTCGGCTACCACCGCGTCTTGTACCTAGCCTCCAAAGCGGTACGAAACAACAGACCCTCTAGCACCTGCGAGCAATCAACGCAGCATCAACCGCCGTGCATTTTTCTATGTTCATCCTCACAGCACGCAGTACTTCAAAACATTACATACGAACAAAAATCGTCGTGTTCAGGGCAACGGCAAGTTTCAACACAAAAAGCATCTACCTACAATATTACGGAGTATGAAGTGAAATACTTGAAAAAAACATCGAACATGGCGTATCCAAGCTCCCTACCCATCACGATACACACAGCACGTGTGCCCGAGCATCTTGGGAATGCAAAGGAAGCTCTCCAACGCATGCTTCCAGAGTGACGTTGTTGTCACCGCTATGGCTGTCACCGCCACCGAACAAGTCCATCCCAGAAGGTACAGCGTCTGCATCGCTGGCCACCGCAGCAGCTGCTGCATTCATACACCACCACAGCCACACCCTCCCGGCAAGATGTTTAAAATCCCCCAGCTCAACGGCCGCAGTGCACACAACCAAACGCCGCCGCACAGCACCGCCCACCCCCCCACAATACCCCCCCGCACTACCGCTGCCGCCCGCTGGGTGGATCGTCGATCAGAAGAAGCCGCTACTTCCGCCACTGCCCCGAACGTCACGAAACATGTTCTCCACGTCCGCCTCGGACACCACCGTCTCTCCGCCGGTCTGCGTTATCTTCGCCCGCAGATGCTTCTTGATGACGTCGGCCATTCGTCGGTAACCTGCCATCATTGCCGCCTGGGTTTCCGCCGATCAAGGTTTGCGATGCACGAGCATCATGGCGTACATCGGGGAAAAGGCAGCCTTAGTTCTTCCGCGTTCTACGAAACAACAGCTTCTCCCACAGCAGGGGGCGCTTGGGCGGACCGTGTTCATGTGCCAATAAACTCTGCGGGAAACGGGCCACGGGGGTTGCCTGTGTGGGGTGCTTAGGTGGGATGTTACGCGAAACGAATTTCTCCAGTTGAGGTACAACGCTCTTAAGCCCTAAACCACCGCCCCCAAGCAACCCCCCACGCCTGGTGCTGCAAGCATTCTCGGACACCACATGTACGAAACAAGATACGGCCATGGCTTAAAAAATCATTTACCGACTAAAACTTACGCACGGCAATCTCATCGCTGGAACAAAACACGACAACCGACACACCAAAACACAGGTGAGGCCCCTCGTGGGCACTACTGTGAAGGCTCGAACGCAAACGTTTTCCCACAACAGCAGTTTTAACTGATGAAACGGGGAGGTGTGGATGAGCGCGTACCTGCTGGTGCGGGGGCAACTGTGCTATGGCCTTCATGCTCCGGGTCTCTACGCTCTCTGCGCCCTCGTTCGCGTCTTCCTCCTCCTGCGCCGCCATCACCTGTGGAATGGGGTGATAGACACACGGACACGACGCAGAGACGGAGAGGACAATCAGTTGCCTACACGGTGCCGAGATATATCATGCGGCACATCTCAGTCGACGCTTGCCGCACACACGGGAAAACCCAGAAGATTAAACCTTGAGAGAGAGAATACTGAAATCAGTGCAGCAGTCCGCTGCGGTCGGGCTCTACTGAAGAGTTGACCTCGTGACACCGGCTGTTTTCTCAACAGGCGTCCGGGAGCGCGTCATGGTGGCAACGCCGTAAGGCTACTGTAACGTTGTACTACGATCTCACTTCTGCTCACGATATAAGTAACACAAACAAAATCGTCGAGGCAGCCCCCGTCCCACCTACCAACCCTCAGTCTTCTATTCTAAAGAATAAAACACCGGCGGGCACGTGTTGTTTGTTTACCTCCTGGAGGTTCACGTCTTCGTCAGCGAGGGAAGCCAGCACCGCCTCCCTATCGACCTCCTCTCCTTCTCGCTTCCACGTCATCTCCGCCCCGTCCTCAAGGTGCACAAGGCGATACCTGATAAAAAAGAGTGGCGTACAAAGCCAAGCCATAGTGTTCGTTGGCAGCGTCACTATGTAGTGTAGAGCAATACACATGGATGGCAACTAAAATGTGAAAAAAACTGCAGACAGAAAATAACGAATCCCGCAACACTTAGCGAGAAAACCCAATGTCCAAAAACTGCAGACAGAAAAGATTCGCGATACACATGCGGCGAAAACACGCCAGGCGCACTGGTGGGAAGGGGAACCAGCGAACGACAAATCAAGAGAAAACCCAATGTCAACAAACTGCAGGCAGAAACGATTCGCGATACACACGAAGAAATACACCTGGCGCACTGGGCGGGAAGGGGACCAGCGAGCGGTTGGTTAACTACCTGTCCACGAAGCACACGTCGTGGTCTGCCTCCTCGAACGCCTCGTAGGCATCGTAGTGCAGCGTGAACACCGGCCGGCCCTCCTCTTCGTCCCGCTCTCCCGTCTTGGCTCCGGCCACCGAACAGCCCCACCACTGCCCATACCAACAAAAACACAGCAGTGCGGACCGAGAATTGCATTAAAATAGTACACACGAGACGCTTTTGGTTGTGGGGGTAGTCGGTAGACCCAAACAGACGAACGAGAGAGGAAGTGGATAGGAAAGGCGCAAAAGGGCCCAAAACATGTGGTAGCAGCCCATAACGTCTGCCGATCTTGTTGCGGCTACTGGTGTGTTGCGGTTGACGGAACGACTCCTCGAGGCTTGTGAGCACGGAGCTTCAATCGATTACAAAAAGTTGACGATAGTTTTCTCCACATGCAGGGCTCAACCCCCCACGCCCCTTGGAAGCGGGCGCCAGCGCCACCGGTTCAAGACCGGTTCCACGCTGAGGGCCAATGTCTCGTCAGACCCAGTGCCTCCTCCAATAGGGAGAGAGCGTCATGACGATCTCTCGTCATGACGATCTGTCCTTTTTCAAGACGTCAGTGATTCCAACCAAACATGGCCCCTCAGCGTGGAGTCGGTCTTCAACCCGTGGCGCTGGCGCACGCTTTCCAAGGGGCGTAGGGGGGGGGGTACACCTGTCGGGCTATCGCCCTTGCCGGGGTTCGAATCCCCGGCTTCATGCATCCCCAGCCACCGACCATCGGGCAGCCCCCGGGTGTCTGGGCCTTATAATAAATAGCGGCAGAGGGCCTCATGGTTCCCACGGAGTTGGAGGCCGGGGATCGGGCCAGTACGGCACTTTGGGCCAGTACGGCCGCGGTGGAGGCGGCCGCGGGGGTGGTAGGGGTAGGGATCACGAAACGGCCAAACCTTTGGCCATTCTGCAACAAGTGCTAGACTCGTGGGCTTAGGACACAGAAACGCTTGATGAATTTTCCGCCCGTGATGATACTAGTTGTCCTGGCCTGCCTCACAGCCACCTTGATGTCTGCTTGCATCGTCCTTTTTCTATGCATTCGACCCATTTCCCGCGGGGCGTCGTCGGTCGGTTTATCGTCGCGCCTCCCTCGCGCAAGAGTACCTGTAGGTGACATAACAAGTCACGCCCACTGGACCGATCTCCAAAGCTCGATTACTCCACGGCAAAGAGGATGTACACATCAAACGACACGTTTTTGGGAAGCCCTCGAAGATACCACCATTTTCAGCACCGCCGCTCTGTATGGTGTGGAGCAATCGAGCTTCGAAAAATGGTCCAGGGGGTGCGGTACCTTGCGTCACCTGGGATAGCACTGGTAGACTCTCACCAATTTCAAGAAAATGAATCCTGACTTGAGAAGCACACCGCCAAAAACAACCAACAAATGCTGTACGTGAAGATCGGCGAAAACCTTACCTTCTCGACGCTCTTGTCGTCGTCCTCCAACAGCCACATCACTTCCAGCCGGGTGCCAACAGCCAGGCCCAACGACCGCAGACACTCCGCCTCTACCCGCTCCGAGTCCGTGGGTTGCGCGCCCTCGGCCGTGACGGGAACAACCACTCCTCCACCTGATGCCGGTGTTGGCTGCACCTCATCCTTCTTCTTGTCTTCGCTCGAGTTTGGCTTGGAAGTCTTAGATGCCGGAGGGCCGGTTCCTGGTCCGTCGGCTGGCGTGTCTAGCGGTTGTTCCTCGTGAGGGCGCTTGCTCCCGTTGCCGTTCCCTTGCTTAGTGGGGGAGGTCCTAGTTGCCCCGGCCGCGGAAGACATAACGTTCAAAATTCAAACTGCAAAATTAAATTTTTCCAACTTCGTCTAGCTACCTTCGGAGCAGAGGCAGGGCGTACGCGCCCACTCGGCTGCCGCGCGTACTTGGAAGGTGTTGGTGGTAGAAAGATTATCCAATGCAGGCAGTACGGCTTGGCTGTGGGCAGAGCGAGCAGAGACAGTAGCGGTGCTTTCCGCGGGGCTCCGCACGTTCATTCTGAAAGCGTTGCTGGGATACCGGGTGAGCCAATCACGTGCCCCTCGTCGTCATCATGTGTGGTCTCGCCGCTCGCCTGTGTCGCCGCCGTGCGTGACCGCTCGCTGCGCTGTAGGCTGATCTGCGTCACGTGTGCAGGGCCTATCATTCACCCACGGAAGGCGGTCGACAATTCGGTGGGCAGGCCCTTACCGTGGCCTCGCGTATTCCCTCGTCGTTGGAAGCGGCGCAACAAAATCTTGAATCTCGAAATCTCTGGCTCCTTGGTGTGCGGCGGGATTTCCAACACAGCTTTCAGGCCGGGCCTCCGCACAGCGGGTTTGCTCGCTCACGGGGAAGAAGGGAACGTACGCAGCTCGCGAACGGGTGAATCATCCTGGCCTCAACAACAACAACGTTGTATAAAGGGCGGCATCTCTAGCCAGACCAACGACATCAGGAGCACCGCCAGCAATGGACGCCTCTAGGTCTCGTCTCTGCCTGTACGACGCTGCACGAGAAGCGATCAGGGACGCATCCGCAGGAGGAGCAGCGGCAGAAGCTGTAGGGCGAGACCAGGATGCCTGCGTCGCTACACGACCACAGCATGATGACGTCCTGGATAAGAAACTACACCGCTCTGTGGAAGAAATGTATCACAGTACCAGAGGACAGCAAAACAGCAGTACACAGGGGACACCGGACGTGCAATTAAGTGCAAGTGACAGCGGTGTCGGCAACAAGAAACGCCAACGGCACGATGGAGAGGAGGCGCCAACAGAAGACGCTGGGGATGCATCTGATGGGGAAGAGGGGCACCCAACCACGCAAGAGGACGAGTGTCTCGGCCTGATGGCGGAGGCATTTGCCGACGACCTCGACCTCCTTCGCAAGGACGACCACTTCGGGGGTTCCGCCAACGACATCGCCGCGATGGCGGACATGATGCGGTGAGAGGGGATACTGCTGTGTTGACGTTGCAAGTTGCAGTGGCACCAACATATATATTGCTGTTTTGGAGAAGAAAGCCATTTGTCGTTTTAATAGTTCCGGCTTGATGGCTTTTGGGAGATGACTTGGCCGCCCGTACGCCCGAAAGGTAGAGCGATAGACCACGCCCACATCATCCAGAAGCTGTCGGTATCACCAACATCAACAGCCGGTGTCCGTGGTCGCCGCCTCATCCTCAGCCTTGCTCAACAACCTTTTTCTCTTTTTTTCACATGGCCGGCCGGTGGCTTTCGCATATTTTGCGGAAACACCCACACCACAGCTACTTCCCAGCATCTGCCTGTGGGCGATGTGTGTAGGCACACGGTCGGTGTGCCGATCGCATGCAGCACTCACAGGGGGTAACGCCAACGTGAGGTCAGCTCTGGTGGGACGCAACGGGTTGCAATCCCAATTGCTGGAAGGCGTGAACGAACGTCCACAAGAGATGAGGCTACGACACACCACCAATGTACCGCCAAAGAATGCCCCACCCGCCCCAACTAGCTCCTCGCCTCCTCGTGCATTTGGGGTTGTCAGTGTTTGGTGAGTTGTGATGGACGTTACTGGTTGAATTCATCTCGGCTCAAAGGGGTGCGAATTCTGCGCTGCTATTGTGATCTCTCGGCGCGACTTTCGGTCCACGTCGCCGTGTTGGCCATGCAGGTGTATTGCGGGCGGGTTGGACAGCACAGAACAAAGAATGCTCTTGGACAACGCAGCGAGATGACGGCGACGACAACGAGGTGCTCAGACGCACTCAGGAAATGCACCACGTAGTAAGCCATTTCCTTATTGTAGTACAGTATCGTGTGTGAACGGAACACCAGCCGGGACCCAGCGAGCGGCAATACTACGAGGCGGGGTGACATTTCCCCGTCCCGAAAGTGTTTGTGATCGCTTGTGGGATGTGGTTTGCTGGAGTTGCCGTCATGTTCTGGGACCCGTTGCCGAGGGTAGCTCCGCTACCCGGTTGATGCAACAACGTTTTTCGAGCCGACTTGTTGAGCATGCGAGTTGTCGAGAGCGTGGACGGACCACGTTGTTTTTGGAAAGCAGCTGTGCAGCCTTTATGACCTTACCGTGAGTATCGGGGTTTTGGCACACCCGGTGTAGCAACCTTCATAGCCCGCTGTTCTCCACAACCAAGATGGCGAGATTGCCGAAATGGGCGGTGTTGGCATGCTCTCGTCGAGAGCTCTGCTTGCACTTCTCGTGCGGTTTTCGCACCCTCCTGGTTGAGGAGCAATCGAGCAATGAAAGCCGGTGTGGTAGAACTTGCTAGTGATCTGTGCTGCTGTGCGGGTGGTTCAAATAGCTGGGCTTTTCTCTTGTGGCATCTGAGAAAAGAGTCTGGAGCATTGGGCGATTGATCTATCACCGGTTGCGGTGGCTGTGTTGAAGTACGATCCGTGTGCCGTAACATTCCAGGTCAAGTGCGCCGCAGGCCCGCCCTTGCTGCAGTGTTGTACACCCTACACACGCTCGCTTGGACTAGGTTGGTTGTCGCGTGTACCCTCACTTCTCCGTAGTAACCTCCGTGTTCTGCCGGGTCCTGTGTATAGGTGACCTTTGTGCAACGACCTCGAGAATTGATTTCTTCTAGGCAATTCTTGAAAACTCCTGTCCAGAACACTTTCGGCAATTCCGGGACCGCCACATCCCAGCAAGGTGAACTTTCGTGCGTGTTGAGGAAATGGCTGAGTCGTTGTAGCGTGCACGACAACAGCTTTCCGTGAGGCGAAAACTTGTTGGCCTCTACAATAAGCAGCTGAATGTATTCGGGTTTAGGGTGACTTCTAGTCCCCCCGCGCGCTAGGATGAGATTCGTTCGAGCAGGAGACCACCATCAACAGAGAAAAGCCGCCGATGAACGGGGCCTTGAACACAAGCGTAGTCTAGCCGATTTCGCCGGTGGGAAGTATTACATGTATTGCGAACCGAGGATTTACCCCTCGGTGGCCTCTTCTATCCTACTGTCAGGTGCGTATACAGGCTACGAGAGTGTACAGAGATACCTATGGCGGCATGCGTAGGCTCCTAGAGTTCGGTAGACTCCATGCGACGTGTCAAAATAATCAAAGCAATGTACCCCCGTGCTGTGTACCCCCCGAGAGCAATGAAAGAATCTGACGAAAATCTAAATGGCAAGGAAGGGTGAGGCACAATCTCGTGGAAATTCCAAGAGCACACCATGACCAACACAGCTCAGAACGCGAGGAACTCGCGGGGGTCAAGCACACCCAGCCAAGCGGGCAGGAGGTGGGTCACCTTCCTTGTCCCCTCCCATTCAAGGGAGCTTAACGACCGTACGCACTGTCCCCGAATAAATTCGAACGGGCGTTTCGCCTTTGCACGTTCAGTTCGAACTATTCTTGATCCTAGGCAAGAAGCACGCGTAGGAGTCAAATCAGAATTAAGAGTAAAAGACAGGCGCACATATGCTTACGCAAGGGCCTACCTTAGGTACGAGTTACACTGTAGATATTAAGTTGGTTGCTGCGGGAAAACTAGGCCCAACGTTACCCCCCATTGTTCCAACCAACGGCTGTTTACACGGCCGAACGATTCCCCTTATTGAAAAACAAGTTCTCGACGAACCGGCATCCGCATACCCAACGCCGGATTTTTTTCTGCGCTACTCTACGTTCGCCTGACATAAGAACAAAATGTGCACCACGACAACCTTGCATGAGAGGCCACCCGGACTGCGGTGTGTGACTGACAAAAACAAAACGATCCCTTCCCAGCGCCTCCAACAAAAAAAATAAAGAATGGAATCAAAATACCCACGAAATTAACCCAGCCGACTTTTCGGGCACAACCGGTCACCCGGTGGCAAAAAGATAACACAAACAAACACACGCACGCATGAATGCATGCGATGAACACCATGGCAAACCTCTACCACACCACACGGCAAGAGGACTGCCAACCAGACCGGACCCGTTTGCCTCAACTACACCACGAACAAGGACATCCGCCCAATCCCAATCCCCCCTCGGGATGGTCTCCTTCTCCGACTGATTTTACCAGTTGCATACGGGACAAAACATCCCCAAACAGCAGAAAGGGGAAAACTGAACCAAGAAGGATCTTGTAAACATGGAACATGGCCCTGGCACACGTCGCGCGCTCCTACCTCTTCCCGCTTTGAGGGAGGGCGAAAAATCTCAGCGTTCTTCCAAAAAACACTCACTCATGTGTGTTTCTCTCATTCAAGTTGAACAAGAAATTGGGGTCACAATCCCGCTGCTTCTGCTGTTAACAAACGCGCTAGCGCCTCCACCCTACCCATCCCACCCTAGACCGCATCGTCGAAACCGCTCCCGCGTAACCACCGCCTCGCTACATGAACATCACGCCCGCTACGGTAGACCCAAAGGCTCGAAGCTTTCGTCTTCCCCTCCCATCCCTCTGTATGGGGGCACCCACTCTCCAGAGACAGAAGAGTTGAGACGTCCAGACTTTGAAAAGGGCGCAACGCAAAACGCCCCGGCTGCTCAGCCTCACGAACGGCTACACCTAGGGGAAGAGCCCACCGCTTTTACTCACAAAAACGCACAAAAAAGGTTACGTAGGCGATTTTTATTGCTTCGCCGGTGGTGCGCCCGAGGCCCGCCGCCCCTTGCCGCTGAGCCGCCCCCCGACGGCTCTCGCCCATCTCATCATGAGAGGCACGGCACGCTGGCCCAGGGGCAGCCCGGCGTCGGTGAGACCGGTGCACGAGATTACGGCCAGGAGGACCACTCCGGCTAGGTGACCGGCGAGGGGGCGCCAGTGCTTGGGCACCAACCAGAAGTTGAGGACGTGCAACGGAGGCCACATCTGCTCAAATCGTCGATCGTGGGGATTTGTGCGCGCGCTGACTGGCGTTTTCTTTTTTTCTCACTGGCCTGGCATGCATGGATTCAAGTCCCGCTGGAAAACGAAAACACGGCAAGCACTGCATGCACATCGTCTTGTCGAAAACCGCTAGCAATCAATAAACACAACACACATCAATTCACGACACTTCGATACGCCCGCACATGATGTACAATCGACGGCAATCTCACCTCGAAGTCTCGGATCGTGCACACCGTCAGCTGCCGCCTCCACTCCGCCCAGCCAAATCGGGTCTGTGCACAAGGCACAATACCGTAGGCGAATGGGCAAGGACACAAGCCGCGGTTAGTCAGGGGAGGGATTCAAACACACCCACACGCCGTCTGGCATCAATTCAAATATGTCAGAATAGAGAGGTGGGGAGCCCTCCTGACATCACGCCTGCATACCCTAAAATTATACAAGGCACATCCAGCAAGGTCTGGGTACAGCCATGATCATGAAACACGATCAAACAGAAGACCTGGCTTCCCCAACTGCAGGACGTGCAACTGCCGCACCTTGAACCCGTAGCGCAGCACTCGCGCGCCAGCAAGGAACAGCCCGTTGGCGAAAGGGCTGTAGAACACGCTGGACGCAACGGCCTTGACGAAAGCTAGCCCCAACGTCATCTCGTCGTTGATGTAGTCCACCAAGTTATACCAGTGCGGGGTAAAAACTCCGTCTGCGCCACCCGACGCGCGGGTAGACAAAGAGGGAAAACGACGCGAACGGTGGCGGGGTGAGAGTGGGAGTTGAATGGTCAACCGCTGGCTACGACTGCCGCTACACCACGCGGTTGCGGCAGAGTCTTGCCGGCAGCGTCGCGTTACCCACCGCTCCGTAGGGAAGATTTCGCGAAGGTGGGGAGATGCATCCTCCGTTGGTGGTTGTTCTGTATGCGGTTGGATCAAAGCACCCCATTTTTCCACGGTGGCTGTGGCACATTGGTGCTTGGACCGACTCCTCATCCCAACCGCAAGAACGAGTTTTGGATGTGTCGGGGAAAGCTCGCACCCTCGGTATTTCGCCTTATCAACTACCCGTAGGACTGGGACTCATCCTCCTTCGGCTGCGAGTACGAACAAACCCCATCTCTGAGCACTGACCCGAGTACCACACGCGGCGCGATGCCAAAGTTCCTCTGCACGTAGAACACTACAATAGCCACCCAGGTATACCTATGATCATGTTGAGGAGGCCGGCATGTACAGTGCGCAAAAACTCGTACCGCTGCCCCGGGTTCCGCCACCTCTCCAGCCGCTGGGCCACCGTGTCCCCCACCACCCCGAGCGCAGTCGCCTGACATCATATATCGCAGGATGGGAAGAGTGTGCAGGGGAGCACGTCAAAGACAACGGAGGCAGTAAGCCCCGCGTGCGTGAGCCAAACACATCACCGTCCTACCATTTGTTTTCCTACCCATGGTAATTGTTTTGACTGCATTGCTGTGCTTCGGTCAAAACGATACCGATGCACGTGATTGTACGTGGTTGTACGTGGTTGAGGTAAGCCTGTGTAGCCTCGTGGATAGTCTCAGCTTCCACTTTGTATGAATTTAGACGGTGCATGCACTTTCGAGCATCCTAAAAACAATGAAGCGAAGACATCTGCGGTCTGTGTGGACATGGGCCGAATTCCTCAACTTTCAAGGTGCTACGTTGGACAAGCAAACAGCAAGCTCAACACCAAAAAAACGTATGTGAAATAATTTTGTAGAGAAAGCAAGCTGCGTTCAAGTACGACCTTAACCTCCCACACGCGCCCGCTGCAAAGCGTCGAACTGGAGGATGGTCATCTTGAGTTCTACGGGAGAGCCCGTGGGCGTCTTTTACACATGGTTGTACACCCGGATGAACCGTTCTTTGGTCGTAAACGTTTTTTTGTGTGTTTCCGCCCCATCTATGCTGGCGCCAGTCTGCATATACCATTCGGGATATATTCGGACGTATAAACCGTGGTCACACAGCAGGAAGGTAAGGACAGGACTTTCCAGTTTATTGCACCACCTTCGCCCCGTGGGGTGCTTGCCGTCGATTCAAACAACACGGGACACCAGTTCAGCAGTCCTTTGGCTCTCGTTGTGTTACTCACTACCCACATACTCACAAACACATATTTTCCATGGCAGCAGATAGGCAGAATTTCCATTCCCAAGGAGGTTAACCAGAGAAAATAGAAAAGCAGCGCGCTGCTGTGAGGCTCATCCATTTTTCGTCTGGAGGAGTTCTGCACACGGCTCCACCGCGTCCTTCAAGGTACGAGAGAAACTGACGGAGATCGGAACGATTTCGTTTTGTTTTTCGTCCCATGTGAAACAACAAAGAGGAGGTAAATGAAGCACCTGTCCGAAAGACATCTTGAGGTAGTGCTCCTCCAGCAGCGCGTCGTAGCTGCCCAGAGCCCCCTTGAAGGGGTTACCGTCCCCGTCCCTCCGCCAGCCGTCGATGAACCCGTCCACTCGTCCCGTCACCCTCCCCCACTGCCGTCCAGCCGCACGTTTCCACTTCTCCGCGTCGAAGCCCCCGCCGCCGCCGCCGTCTTCGTCCCCGAGTGGCCTCTCTGTTGCCGCCGCTGCCGAATCCACCGAGTCGTCGTCTTCGTCGCCGATTTCCTCTGCCACGGCAGCTGCAGCGTTTGCTGCTGCTGCCGCTGCGTCTGCTGCTGCTGCTGCTGCTGCCGCTGCTGCTGCTGCTGCCTCAAGCGCGGCCTCGTCGTCCTCTGCTGCCCCACCACCATCTACATGATCATCATTTGAATCTACTCGTTCTTCTGAGCCCTCATTCTCCTCCTGCCCCTCCTCCTCCTGCGCACGGTTCTCCATATCCTCAAGGCTGGCTGCTGCCCTCTGGGCAGCGGCCGCAGCAGCGTTAGCTGCCTGTTCCGCCTCCGCTAGCTTGGAGAACACCTCATCCTCGGCAGCGTCTGCTGCCGCTGCCGCTGCTGCTGCCGCTGCTGCCGCTGGCGGGATCGATGCCCCTTCGTCCGCCAGGCATGCCAAGTACGGGCCAGCAAGGAAGACGAGCAACAAGCCGGGACAGGTCCTCATCTCTGCTTCCACGAAGCTACCAGTGCTGGGGTAAAGGTTGTGGTGTGTGTGTTCAACTAGCCCGCTAGCCTCATGTTCACACACAGCAACAGAGCCCGCGCCGCACCACCGCATGCCCTGAAAAGCCCCCCGCTCGCGTATACCCCCCCCCCCTGCCATGTCGGTGTTCACAGAAAGCCCCCTACTGCTGTGTGTAGGTCGTGACTTGTTGTTGGTGCTGGCTCTCACCACGCACTCGTGCTGCACTCGTCATGGCGGCGATGGCGACCGAGCTCGACAAGGAGTTCGGCAGGTTGCTGGAGTCGCACCGAGATGTGCCGGACGCGGCGGTAATGACGCCAATCAAAGACCCTTCTTTTGCGGTCCTGACTTGCCCCCTTGATCAAGTCCTGGCAGCTTCGATGTTGGGGGTGCTCAGCACCGAGCCACAGGCAAGATGGCAACCTCGCAGTATGCTACGCTTGGGATATGTTCGCACTGCGCTGGAGTTTGCGTTCGATGGATGACGCGCTGCGCGTGGGCTAGGATATATTTTTTCCGCATCCAGTGTTTCGAATCGGATATTATTGAATCCAATTGCGCCGCTTGGATCCGCCGAATCCTCTGATGATCCGCCGGGTATGATGCAATCCATCACAACGTTGATACGTACAAACCTTAGATGATTTTGTAAGTATGTGGATGTATATCCACATTCAAAGGTTACTGGACCGTCCTGCTGTGGTGCGACAGCGTGCTACCCTACTTGAAGTTGATATTGCGGTCCCCATTCCTGATTCGCCTCGTTGGTACGTACGGTTTGATGTCCTGGTGGCTCTCATCCCTTTTGATACGTGTGTGCGAAAGCATTGGTACACGCAAGTCCTGCTCAGGTTGTCTACACGGGTTTTGTCTTTATTCGTGTCAATCACTACTGTACCTGCCTGCGTCAATGTTTGTTTTCGCTCTGGAGGGCGCGGGCTCGTGGGCGTTGGCCAGGCTACGGCAGTTCGCTTTCATCATGTGTGTTCGGTAGCACGGCACGTGCATTGCCCTCTCGCGGCAGGCACCAAAGACAAAACGCCGCACCGTCTGAACCCTCGATGGTATCAGCGATCAACCTCCATCCCCTCATGGTCCGGTGACTCTGCCGGTGTGTGTGCGTCATTGTTCGGCGCGCCGCCGCCGCCGCCGCCGCCGCCGCCGTCTGCCCCTCCCGCCCCCCGGACGAACAGAACCACAAACCGAAGAACCTTCCGTTCACGGTGGTCCAGCGTAAGCTCGCGTCCGCCATGAAATTGTTCCTGGCGACGGAACGGCTGGCCCCGGCCGCGCGCCGGGCGGTCGTGACGGCCTCGCTCAGCGTCTTCCGCCACTCCTGCGCGGTGACCGTGCCGGCCAAGCTGTCGGGCATGGCGGCGCACGCGTTGCTGCGCGCGCTGGTCTCCGTGACTACCGGGACGACAACCAGCAGCAGCGCCGGCGCAGCAGGTGCGATGCCGTCGGCCAGCAGTGGGTGGTGTCACGAGAGTGGTGGTCGTACCGCAGAGGTTCGGCTTGGATGGTTGTGTCCGGCGACGTTTGTGCGACACTCGTGGGATACGGCTTGACGTAAACCGAACCATCGCCCGATCGTTGTCGTAGCCTTGAGCGCTGATTCGACGGATTGTGCTTTCCCTCTCGCTTTTGGTTGAACTTGCGAAACTGGGTGCAAGTGAGATGTTGATTGGTCAGTCTAGAAGGAAAAAAAATGGTACGTTGCTGATCTTTAGGGTTTGCCGATGGAGATTGGTCTATCAGGTGTTGGTTGGCTGGGCGTCTTGGGCCGTCTTCATACTTGCTTGAATTCAATGCGGTGTGTGGATTGGGAGCTAGGACGCATTCCAAGTGTTAGGCTTCTGCGGAAGGCAAGGGGGTTCCGCATGATGAAACATGTGGGTGCCTGGTGTGAATGGCCGAGGGTTCGCCCGCGTCTCTCCCGTGCATGCATCCTCCTCCGGGAAACAGGGGGAAGCAAGAAGCACCACAACAACAACCACCGCCATCGCAGCCGGTCTCCATCGACCGGTGCGACAGGGGGCAGCTTGGTGCTGGGAACGGAAGGGTTCCCGGAGTCGCAAGTCGCGGCGTTCTTGTTGGACGTGACCCGGGTAGAGCCGCCGCCGCCACCGACGCCGCCCGTCGCGGTGCCGGCTGACGTCGCCCTCAAGGTGGGAGGCGAGAAGAGAGAAGACAGGGATATAGAACCGAGACGGACAAACGTATCTGGGGTGGTGGGGCTCTCGTCGGATAATGAAGAGAGTGGGGAGCAGGGGAAAAACGAGAGCTAAATAGATGCGTACGAATACACAGGGGTCGAAACATCGACTGGGGGAGGACAGATGACCGGAAGGAAGCGAGGGGTTTTCGTTTCGTTGCGTTTGGTTCGGGAAGCCCGTCAGCACGGGGCGTACACGAGGACGAAGATGCGTGTTAAGTGGACACCTCCCGCCCACATCACCGTCCCCGACCACATGCGCATGTTGGCAGTTGACTTTGTGTTCGAGGTATTAGGCGAAATCTCCCTGTGTCGGTTGTCCCTCTAAGCTGAAGCTGTCTCTCTGCCTTAGACACGGCGCCGACACCACCACCGCAGTACAACAGCAGCAGTAGAGCACACCGTCAATTTCGTTACAACCTTCTCGTTTCTCCTGTTGCGTGCGCGCGAGGGGACGCAGATCATCTCCGCCTTCGGGGTCGGCAAGGCCGGCAGAAAGGGCGAGGGCCACTCGCTGGAGTGGGGGGGTCCCTCGGTGGCCGACTCCCTCCGAGGCTCGGTCCGCAGGGTGGCCAACCGGCTGCAGCGGGAGGGGAAGTGGGGGCTGGTTTCGGAGCTGGTGGAGCACATGGAGACCCGCGGGGGCGTGGAGGAGTGCGAGGGGGTTCTGGGGATGAAGCTCGGAGAGGTGAGGGGGGGGGGGAGGGCAGCTGGCTGTACGTGTTGCCTCGTGTGTGCTCGCCCGCGTGTAGTACAATTGTATCGTGCGGTAAGGCTCGTGGCCGGGGTACGCTTCTCGTTTGTTGCTCCGGGTGTGTTCGCGCGATGGAACGACGGAATCGCGTGATTGCTGAGTCCTCGTCCCAAGGCGACAGAGGGCGTTTTTTTTCCCATTTACCCCCACCCCCGGCGTTGCCGAGAATAGTACGGGAGGTGAAGTGGTCAAACAAAAAGAGGGGTAGACAACCCACGGAATGGGTCAAGGTTGTAGAGGACGTATGGAAGGGGTTCGACATCGACGAAGATGCAACGCTGGAAACGGAGGGTCTACAGGGGTTCACGGAGAAGATATATGTTGCTTGTGCCGAGAGAGAAGAACAGAATCTAAGAAAAGAAACCGAGGATAAGGAGGGTCTAGAAGTGTACGGAATGTTGGAATAGGATTCAAGGATTACCTGCATGGGACCAATGGATGCAGGGACAAAACTTAAGGTCAGATTCAGGACCGGGGACATAAACCTTCGAGAACGTCGACGAAGACATAGGACGGTAGACGACGAAGACGACAAGTTCAAATGTGATTGCGGCTTCGAAAATGAAGACCGTGTTCATGTAGACGCGGAATGTCGGCTGTACAATAAGGAGAGGGAAATGTACAAGACTGAGCTGGGAAAAATACGAGGGACGTACAGGGAGATGTTTGAGGCATAGAATAGAGAGGAGAGGACGATAGCTGTACTGGGGAGTAGGAGATGGTTTGAAAAGGCGGGAAGGGATATCATTAGGATAGACAGACTAGGGAAGACATTTTTGAGCCACCTTCGGCAAAGTAGGAAGGAACGATTGGCCATCGGTGATCGGTCCTGTGGGAACAATGCCCCGTCCTCTCGAGGACGCGTGGTCAATGGTTAACCGCTAAGGCATGCAAAACATAAGAGTACGCCCCCGCC